CCTATTTTAAGGCTCCTATGACTAAAACTCAGTGGCGAAGGGCTCAGAGAATCAGGAAAGCTGAGCATGAAGCACAAGCTTTCGCTCAAGCTCAAGCTCAAATCCAGGCGCAAGCTCAAGCTCGAATCCAAGCCCAAATTCGAGCCCAAAATCAAGTACAACAAGCCCAGGGAAATGCCGCCAGAAAGATGCGATGTACCCCGGTTAGTGTCGAAGTCAAAACGACTAAAGAGAGGGCACCAGCAATGAAGAAAGACTTGAAGATGAAGAGTCCAGAAATCGAGTACGATGCGGATGATGAATTGATCATCGATGTATTCAAATCAGGCTTTGAAGATGACCTCGAGGACATACTTGGGGTTGTATCCATGCTGCCTACTGAATATGCCGAAGGAATCGGCGAAGGAGATGAAGAAGACTTCTATGCCGATGACGAACCCGATAATAACCCATGGGGTTATTGTTATTTGGCAGAGGACGGTTCACTTGCTAAATTGTCGGCTGTTTTTGAGAAGCCGACACGTGAAATGAAAAGTCATATGAAGCCGCTATACATTGTGGCTCGAATTGACGAAAAATTTCGAGTGAACAAAGTCCTCGTTGATTCTGGGGCAGCTATCAATATTATGCCCAGTTTTTTACTGAAAAAGATTGGGAAATCTGAAGAGGATTTACTCCCACACAACTTGGTACTAACGGACTATGAAGGGAAATCTTCAAGTTCCAAAGGAGCCCTAATCGTCAACTTGAGAGTTGGATCTGTTTCTCGAGCAACCATTTTTGTAGTGGTAGCTTCTAAGGCAAGTTATAATCTACTGCTCGGGAGAGAATGAATTCATGGGGTTGGAGCAGTACCTTTGTCATTGCATCAGAAACTCTGTCTTTGGAATAACAACGGAGTGTTGGAATACGTCGATGGAGATCAGAGCTATTTTAAGGCTGAAGTTCATGTAAGTAGTCTTGATAGCAAAACATTCGACAAGTCTTTTGCCAACATTGCGCCACTTCGTATAGAAGATATAGGCGGCCCTCATTTTGGCCGAAATCCTCTCCTGCCAAATGCTCGCGAAATTTGACACCAGATTCGCCTAGACCCTTCGGTGGGTTTTTACGGCTTCCAAGAAATAGTGGAGGCCGAAAAGAATGAAAATGAAGAGCCTTGAAAAGAGCCTTTTGGCTCGAATTTCGGCTTACGTAGCCGAAAATAAAATAAAAATGGCTCTCGAAGCCGGGGATACTTCAGAGGCCGATAAATTTATTTCGGCAATAAAATCACAAAAAATAGAAGAAATCTCAGCCCATAAATCCGTAGACCCAATCCAAGGCCATGCAGATATCAACATGGTCGAAAGTTCGGTTCATCTAGCCGAAAGAAGAGAAGCGGCCCTAAAAGTGGCTGAAGGATTGGAGGTCGATTCACCATATTCGGCCATTACGACAAATTCGGCTTATCTAGCCGAACAAAGGCACACAGAACTCGAAACATGTGTGATTCAAGAAGAATCGGTTCTAGAGACCGAAGGCAACGATGTCCGGCTTGATTGCATCTACGATGATGCACCAATTAGCTTCGAGGAAGATTCAGCTCGAAAAGGGCCAAAAATGGAGGCACAAGATCCCTTAGAAGAAGTGAACCTTGGAGATGAAAAGGAGCCGAGGTTAACTTTCATCAGTAAATTGGTCGAAGAAGAAGTGAAAGACCAATTAATCAAGTTACTAAGGGAATTTAAGGATTGCTTCGCCTGGGATTATGATCAAATGTCAGGCCTTTCGAGGGAATTAGTCGAACATCGACTCCCAATTCGACCAGAAAAGAGGCCAGTAAAGCAACCACCTAGGAGATTTGACCAGAGATTTTGCCAAAAATCAAGGAAGAGATCGAAAGGCTTCTTAGAGCAAAGTTTATTCGTACTGCCAGGTATGTTGACTGGATCTCGAACATAGTACCTGTGATTAAGAAAAATGGATCTCTTAGAGTTTGCATTGATTTTCAAAATCTAAATACTGCTACACCAAAAGATGAATACCCTATGCCAATAGCCGATATGTTAGTAGATTCGGCAGCAGGAAATGAAATTTTAAGTTTGTTAGATGGATATTCAGGGTATAACCAAATTTTTATCGCTGAAGAGGATATATCGAAAACAGCTTTTCGATGCCCTGGGGCTCTAGGAACTTATGAATGGGTAGTAATGCCATTCGAATTAAAAAATGCTGGAGCTACATACCAAAGGGCAATGAACACTATTTTTCATGACATAATAGGCGAATTTTTGCAAGTTTATATCGATGATATTGTTGTGAAATCTAAGTATAAAAGTGACCATGTTGGTCATCTTCGACAAACATTTGAAAGAATGCGAAAATATGGCTTGAAGATGAATCCTCTAAAGTGTACTTTTGGTGTTATTGCAGGACAGTTCCTTGGCTTTATTGTTCACCAAAAAGGAATTGAAATCGACAAGAATAAGGCCAAAGCAATATCTGAGACACAAGCCCCTTCGACTAAAAAACAACTACAATCGTTGCTAGGGAAAATAAATTTTCTACGAAGATTTATTTCCAACCTTTCTGGCAAGGTTAAAATCTTCTCACCCCTATTGAAGTTAAAGAAATAAGAAGAGTTTCGATGGGAAGTAGAACATCAAGCTGTTTTTGAGGAGATAAAGCAATATCTGACAAAACCACCAGTAATGGTTCCGCCAAAGAAAGGTTTTCCCTTGAAGTTATATATCTCGACATCAGAACATACTATTGGGAGCATGCTAGCTCAAGAAAATGAAAATGGTGTCGAAAGAGCTGTTTATTATCTTAGTCGAATGTTGATAGGTGCAGAATCTCGATATAGTCCAATCGAGAAATTATGTTTGTGTCTATATTTTTCTTGTGAGAAATTGAAATATTATATTAGGCCTTTTGATGTACATGTTTATTCACATCATGATATAATAAAATATTTCTTGTCAAAACCTATCCTTCACGGTAGAGTTGGAAAATGGGCGTTGGCTTTAACATAGTATTCTCTAATTTATAAACCACTAAAATCTGTAAAAGGCCAAGTTGTTGCTGATTTCGTTGTTGATCATTCGATTCCAATCAAAGAAATAGATTTTGTAAGTCTAAAGTCATGGAAATTGTACTTCGATGGATCTAGTCATAGAAATGGAATTAGAATCGGAATACTGATAATTTCACCAGATGAAATCCCAACAAAATTACTCTTCGAGATAAAAACAGCTTGTTCAAACAATGAAGCTGAGTACAAAGCATTATTAGCTGGACTTGAAATACTGTTAAATTTCGGGGCAAGAAATGTAATCATTCGAGGAGACTCTGAGTTAGTAATAAAGCGGCTAACCAAAGAATATAAATGTTTAAGTAGAAACCTTGTCGAATATTGGGTAAAAGTGAATAAGTTATTACAAAAATTTGATGAAGTCATTCTAGAACATATTCCTCGAAACAAAAATCAAGAGGCCAATGAATTAGCCTAAATTGCCTCGAAATATAGAATTTCGAGTGAAAACCTGGCAAAATTAACAGAGATAAGGGAGAAGTTAGGGTCAACAAACCTTGAGATCTTAAACATAAATGACTTAACTGACCAAGATTGGAGGAAACCTTTAGTTAATTATCTCAAGGACCCCAACATTCCAACTGATCGAAAAACAAAATTTTGAGCAGTTAACTATATAATTGTGGTTGATGAATTGTATAAAAGGGGTGTTGATGGCACTTTACTTCGATGTCTAAGCGAACATGAGGCTTATATTGCCCTGGCAGAAATCCATGAAGGGATCTGCGGAGCTCATCAAGCTGGAGAAAGAATGAAATGGATGTTACTTCGAGAAGGATTGTACTGGCCCTCGATGATTAAAGATTGCTTTGAATATGCAAAATCCTGTGAAGAATGTCAAAAGCATGGTAATATTCAACACGTTCCAGCCTCAGGATTACATTCAATAATTAAGCCATGGCCTTTTCGAGGCTGGGCTCTGGACTTAATTGGCCAAATTCATCCTCCTTCAACAAAAGGCCATAAGTATATCATTGTAGCTGTCGACTATTTTTCAAAGTGGGCTGAGGCAGTTCCGTTGAAAGAAGTTACTCAAAGTGATGTTGTTAATTTTATCGACGAATACATAATTCATCGATTCGGCATACCAGAAACTTTAACAACAGACCAATGAACTGTTTTTGTAGGTCGAAAAGTAACTCAATATGCAGAATCCTTGAATATAAAAATGATAACTTCAACCCCATACTATGCCCAGGCCAATGGACAAGTGGAGGCAGTAAATAAAATTTTGATCAAATTGATTAAAAAACACATTGGATCAAAACCAAGAAATTGGCATGAAACCTTAAGTCAAGTATTGTGGGCATATAGGAATTCCCCAAAAGAAGCTACAGGGACAACTCCATTTCGACTCGTTTATGGCCATAAAGCCGTTCTACCTGTGGAGGTAAATCTACAATCAGTTAGATTACAACGGCAATTTGAATTACCAAGTGAAGATTATTGGGCCTTAATGTTTGATGAATTAAATGCTTTGGATGAAATTCGTTTAAGTGCCTTAGAAAAGATGATTCGACAAAAAGAAAGAATTTCGAGGTCATATAACAAAAAGGTACGAAACAAGCATTTTAATCCTGGTGAATTAGTGTGGAAAGTAATTTTACCGTTCGACAAAAAATCAATAAAACTTGGAAAATGGTCACCCAATTGGGAAGGCCCATTCGAGATTGAAAATGTGTTTTCAAATAACTCGTATTCAATTCGAGAAATTGGAACTAATAGTCGAATCATGTCGATTAACGGTAAGTACTTAAAACCATACAAACCAGAAACATATGAAGTAAGAATAACTTGAATTAACGCAAATAAACAGGTAATTCGAACAATAAGAGGACAAATAAGTAAATTTCATTCAAAGTAAAATTTGAGTATTTACAAAAAGGCCTAACTACAAGAATTCAAAGGAAAATACAAGGAAAAATCAAAAAGGAGGCTTCGAGCGCATTTCAGTATAAACAGCTCTCAAATTTTGATATCTGGTTTCAAGAGCTGTACATTGTGCATCCAGACTCGAAATATCCTCCATAGCTTGAGCTCTCTCAATAGTCAGGGTCTTCACATTTTCTATAAAGTTTTTTCTTTTCTTCTCACAAGCCTCACTAGCTTTCTTCAGCATCTTTGACTCTTTTCGAGCTCTTTCGAGTTGTTTCTCTAAATCAACGATTCTAGCATCAACTTCTTTCTGCTTCATATCGGCATTGGTAGCCGATTCCTTTAGCTTGACTAACCCAGTTCGAGCCGCTTTCAATTTATTAGAAGCAGAGTCTTGCTTTACTCGAGCTTGATCTTGTTTAGAACCCACCACAGTGGTTTGGTCTATAATTGGTAAAGAATCGATGAAAAGAGACTCAAAACGTTGGAGTCCTTCAGGAAAGGTCGAGAGTTGAACCTTCAACGAAGAAAGTAGGCCTTTGACCTTGGCAACCAAGTCCTTGTCAGTTGGAAGGTTCTTCATCATTGGTGCATAAAAGACCAAGGACCTAAGATCTTCGAGCATTTTTTCAGTTGATTCAGTGGGCTTAGAGATTTCTGAATGTGACCCTGAGGGAGTATGAGATGAAGAAGAAAAGGTGAAGGTACCAGCCAAAATTTTGTCAATGGCCCCCTCTGGATCTTCCTCCACCATGGCATTAAAATCATCCAAGTTCATTTCTGAGTTAATGGATGATGCTGGTGGCACAACTTCAAGGCTGGGAGGACCTTCGACAGAAATTGGGAGGTTTTCAGGAACTTGGTTTCCCTCTGCAGCTACATTCTCCTCACCTTCATGCAAGGGCCCCTCCTCTTCTGAGTGATATGTAACAACATCAACCTCAGGAGAACCCAGAGGCGGTGTTTGTCGAGATATAGGGGGCACCTAGAGAAAAAGAAGTGAGAAAAGTCACAAGTATGAAGATCAATTGTGAAACAGATTAAAAATATCAATTTCGAGCAAAATCACGCCTTACCTCAGAAGCTTGCTCTGTTTGAGCTTGGTGTTCAGAACTCGAGCTAGATGAGCTCGAAGAAGCATCTGAAGAAGAGCTCGAAGTCCCAGAACTTGAAGACGAAGTTGCTTCATTCCCCAGCGCCAAGTTTTGGGAAACAACTTCACGGTTCTTTTTCGAGCTTTTTTGAGATTCCTCAGGAATAGGGGTCAAGCGCTTTTTTGACTCCTGTTGAACCCTAGGAGTGGAATTGACACTTGGAGTGTCATCAATTGAAACCTGTTACAAAGAAAAGGTTAAGGTATTGCTCAAAAAAATAGAATTTTACTCTAAAAAAAAAAAAGCACAAAATACTTACCTCCGCTGACTGAGTCGAAGGTTGATCAGAAGTTGGTCGAACAGGAGTTGAAACAGCCATTTCCAAGTATCTGACACCCAAAACTGCTTTTCGAGGAATATTTGAGGAGTTTCCAAGTATCTGACACCCAAAACTGCTCGAAAAGCAGGAAGTGGTAAGAAAATATTTTAAGTCCACAAACTTGGCTGAGCTCCAGATTTCCTCCAGAATTGCTCGAAAAACAGAAATGAGCAAAGAAAATGTTCTAAGTCCACAAGACCAAGACAGACTCTCAAAACTCCAGAATGGCTCGAAAAGAGAAGTCAAGAAGAAACTATTCCAAGGCAATAACATTAAAAGAGTTTCCTAGGTTTCTCTCAGAAATACTTGAAAGATAGGAGTATTGAAAAATCCAAAAGCGGTTACCAGTAGTTATCAACATTCACCTCTACGCAAAAGAGATCATGGGCGATAGCGGTTACAGCCCCAACAAACAGCACGATCACAAACAATCGTGGATAGTGAGCATCAACAGTTGAAGGCAGTTACTAAGAAGTGCCCGTAAAAGGAGGAAAACGGTGGTGATCTTCATGTCTATAAATACTACAAAGCATTATTTCACAAAGGACGACTTTTTGCACCCAGACACCGCACCTGAACACTCTGAGACGCTGAAACCCTGCACCGCGCCAGACACCAGCTACAAGGAGACCTACGGTGGCCATTGTTCGCCGTTGTGAGGAGTCGTACGTTTACATCCAGCACCTTTACATTCCCGCATTTACCTTTCCGCATTTTAATTTCAGTGCTTGTTGCTTGTATCTTTGTACACTGTTTGTTTCCTGTTTACTACATTTTTATAAAAGCATCCACGTTTGATTCAATTCTGCCCATTTATTATTCACTATTCTTGCTTAATACTCTTTTACGCCGTTAATTTGAGCATCACGTTAACAACACACTTAAAAGAACCCAAAGAGGACCTAAATCCAGTCCCCAGATTGATCTTTGGATTATTTGTTTATAACTGTCATTTTTCACCGTAAACAGAGTTACATGAATTTATTTTTCATTATAACCGAGAATATGTAAGAGGGGAAATAAAAATCTGTCAAGTTCAAATAATTTTAATTTTTGTCAGTTCTTTTATTTCAAAAGGTTACTAAAAATATAAAAATATTTTACAAATCTTTTCTTATTGAAAACATATAGTTTCATTTTACAAAATAAAAAAGATTCAATTTTTTTAAGGAATCAAATAAATATTTTTTTACACGATTAATTAAAAGATAATTATTTTTAATAACATCGTAAAATACGAACATCTTCTTTGGACATAATTAAACTCTCAAACGTTGACTGAAGTGATTTTTTTCCCTCTTCTTTTTCTGAGTCGTGGCCTCCCGTCCTTGCCTTAGTTTTGATAATTCATATTTGATAAAGACAAAAATATATATAAACATCACATGATATATTCTAAGTGTTATTTATACAAAGATGATAATATGCATATATAACCATGTCAACATAATAATTATATACGCTCAACTTATACTAACTTTAGTAACGCTAGTATAGAAATATTATCGGTTAAATATGTTTTAATTTCTAAGAAAATGTTAAAATTTGCTTTTAGTTCGTATAATTTATTTTTTATTTAGTCCTTAATTATCATAAAATACAATTAAAATTAGTATTTATTATTAATTAATTTCTATTGTCTCTAACATGATTAATAGAACTCTACAATCATTTTATTTAAAAAGTTAAATTTTTTATTTTATAACGTTAGAGGGTACCAAATCCTATCATTTATGATAATTTTTAGATAGCAAGTTACGATTACTTAGTTAGAGCAACTAAACTAATTCTAATTTTTTTTTTATTGGATTGTAACTAAATTGGCTAACCCTTTCTTGCATTCTAAGTTTGATTTTTAACTAAGCATAAGATTCTAACCAAATACAATGATGAAAAATAACAAGTCACATTAATTAGCATTCCGTGTGGCCAAGTAACCTTCATGCCGAATCAAGGTTACTTGTTATAGATTTTTCTTCACCTTTTCCACCTCTTACAAATACACTGGCAAGTTTTCCTTTAATCCTAACCGAAATGTAAGGTTTAGTTCCATGTTTTGTAATGATTGAGGCAATGTCTTTATCTTAAAATTAGATGAGAAAAAGGCTGAGTTCTTCTCCTTCAAATGGGGACTAGAGTTAGATTCTAATTAAGGAAAAATTATACAATTATAAAATGATAAATGATAGTAAAAATAAATAAAATCTTATGAATACTTTATAGATTTTTTAAAAAATATAAATATTTTACTTTTGTACTAATTTTAATTAGATTTCTTCACATGGAGGAAAGCTTGAATTACCTCCCATGTGGATAAATATGGATATTTCTTCTATTTTATTTACCAGGATCACCTCTACGAGAAGAATAATTTTGTAATTCTATTTCTAACTCTTAAAATATTATTTTTCCTAACTTAATATCAAAATTTGCTATTCTACTCATTAACCTTATGTTTAAGGTTTAAAATAGGTTTACTATCTTTAGGGCTGTTTACTTTTATTTTGGTTCAATTTTTAAAAATTATATTTTAAAAAAATTATTTGTAAAAATGAAAATAAAATTATGTAAACAAACAGTTTTTTTTTTACCTTTAAAAATAAAAAAAACAAACTCTTAGAGCTTGTTTCTCTTTTAGTTTTTAATTTTTAAAAAAAATTATTTTAAGAAAAAATACAAAAATTTAAATTAATAAAAAATTTAATTATTTTGTACTTTTAAAAAGAAAAAATGTTTTTAAAAAAAGAAAAAAAGCTTTACTATTTTTTACTTTTAAAAAATTATATATTCACATTATATTTATTATATTGTGAAGAAATTAATTTATATAAATAATTTATTATAATTTACTTATAACAACACCGCACAACAGGCTTTACGATTAAGATTAAGACAATATAACGTATGAATATAACACTTAACAGAGTTTGGACTAAAGATTTTTTGTAAAATTTTAACATTTTGCCTATTTTTTCTTTTTTTAATATATTTTTTAGTGTTTATTTTATTTTTTTATACTTTATAATTTTTATTGAAAATAAGTGTACTAAGCGTATTAGAATCTTTTAGTGTTCTGCAATTGATGTATTTTTTATTATTAAAAAATTAATTCATTTTAAAAGTTATAAGTTTTCCATAAGTTCAAATTTTATTTAATAAAAAAGTATTTTTTTACATTAGTTATTATTTTTAAAAATTTTATTTCACTTTTTATTAGATCGATTAATTATTAATCAATATAGAATTTATTTTTATATAATTGTCTTTTTTGACTTAAAACTTTAACCTGACCTATCTTCTATTATTGGTCTTTTCTCATTTTCATGTGATGTCTTCCCTTCCTTCAAACTCTTACCAAGGTTGTTGTTATTATAGTTGTCAATCCGATTTAGGGTTTAGGGTTGAGTTGGTTTGGGTTTGATAAAGAAAAATAATGCACAAAACCAGTATAATCTAACTCATACATATTCTTAGTTAAAATTAAAATTAAATATCTAAAAATATAAATTTTTATAAAAAATAAAAAATACTTATTTTACAATAATTTTTTATTGCTATTAATTATTTAAACTCAGTTAAAAGTTGAAGTTAACATTTTTCTTAATAATAATAATTATAGATATAATAATTAAATACATCAACTTAAATTTTAGGATCAGGATTCGGTGTAGTCGACGCGAAACTACATCATGCATTTAAGTAAAATTTTGCATTTTTGCTTAAGTAAAAATGTGTGGGCTTAAGCAAAAATACAAAATTACGTAACAGAACAGCGCAGTACTGAATCCGGATCTTAAATTTTGATTTCATTTCTTTATTACTTGTATTGTAAGATTTATCATTATGATTACTGTGTATTTTATTTTTTATAATATAATTTTTTAAATAATTTAAGTATGTTTTGCAAATAATGAAACCAACCTTTTTTCTTATAAACAATATATTTCAAAATATATCACTTATGATGTGCTCCCACAAATAAAAAATGTTTTCAAGTACATTATTCTTTTTTTCAAAAATGTCAAAGATAAGAACAATAATTATAAAAGGATTTATAATAACAGTGTAAATTATTCTACCATGTTATAATTTTATAAGGAACCTGTCGAATTACATCATTTTGTATTCCTTACATGGGAATTTTTTACATTTGTCTTTTCAAAATAAAATATAGAAATATTTTCTTATGTATATGCTATTTTAAACAATTCAGAAATACTTCTTTAAAGTCATATAATGATTAAGCACAGTATGTAAATTATTTTATTATTTGTAGATTATAAAATTGTAAGGATGTGTTTAATTAAACTATTTCATACCAGCGAATGTAAAAGTTCTCTTATTATATCTCTATCTTATTTTATATTTAAAAATTCAAATTTTTTTATAATTTTTTTTTAGTTTCTTGAATGAGTTTTATTTTATTTTAAATGCTTTTTAAAAGAAGTTATTTTTCAAATTATAAAGGTTATTAAAAAAGTACTAAAAATATTTTTTATTAAAAAATATTTAGTCACAAATTATATACCAAATCGTTGAGTACAACAAGCTAACTATCGGCGGCTGTCTTTTGCTTATGATGCATATGGAATATTCAAATTTGGCATGCGTCACGACAGGACGTCCATAAGAAGAAATTGGCATGGATTACTTTTAGTTCTGTTTATTTATATGAATAAAATAAAATAATCGAATATTTCAGAAAAATTAAAAAAATATTAAATTTTTTAAAATATTATATCAATGACGTTTTGTTTTTGGTACTATAATTTTTAAAAATTATCACGACCAATTTTTATTTTAAATTTTTTTATTATTTTGGAAAAATTACTACCAATAAATTTTAATTTTTTTATAAAATTGTCAATAACAATTTATGAAATTTTTAAATTTTTGTTATCCTATCAGTACTTCCACAAAAAATTATTAATTTCAATTTTAAATCCATTTTTTTAACTTTTCAAAAATCGTTAATTACAACTTTCTTCTTTTTCTTTTTCTTCAACGGCATGCGTTTACCCAAGAAAAGGTCCAGTGATGTTATATTGGAGACGATTTTGGCCCATTAAAATAAATATTTTTTATTTAAAAATAACAAATATTAGAATTAATAAATATGAGGTTTAGACAAGACGTCCAATAGACCAATAGTGAGACCAATTGGGTCAAATGTTTGAATTGTAGCATTTTAAAATGCGTCGTGACTAATAAGATTATGATAGTGTTATAAAATAGAAAGGTTTAAAATATTTTATGATAAATATTTATTATAATTTTTATCACATCATTTATTTTTTAATTTGAAAAAGATGTTACACAAATTATTGAATAATAAGTTAGTTTAGTTCTTAAAAATACTCTTGTTCAAGAATTAGTATTCACAGTTTATATATAGAGATTATTTTTAATTAAACTAATTTTAATTTTAAAATTTTAAATCAATATCAATAAAGATCATGTATCTTGATTTAAATAATTTATTTCACAACTTTCTAAAATTTAAATCTTATGTGTTATATATTTATATAATAAAATAATTTTTTCTGTTTTTAAATTTTATTTGTAAAGTTTATTTTAATTTTAAAATATATACCCGTACCCTTACTATTCATAAAACTTGCTTCCTAGTTACAAAGAAAGCTACTATTCCTTCTTTAAATAAAATGCAAGAATTCAATCAGAATCTTTTTAGATTAATGATTTTATATACCGTTTAAAATTAATTTTTTATTTTGTTATCTTTTTTATCTTTAGATAATGTTTTTATATTTTTTATTATTATTTATGCTTAGTCTTCATAATTGTAAATTTTAGATATTTGTCTTATATTTTTCTTTATTTGAATTTAGTACTCCAAAAAGAAATAGTTTGTAGATATTTTATAAAACGTAAATTAAATATCATTACATTGACTTAATAAATGAAGTTTTGTAGACATAAGGGGTAGACCAAGAGTAAGTGAATTACGATTTGACCCTTCAAAAATCAACGATGAAAAATGACACTATATTATCTTGAAGATTTGTTTACTTATATTGCAAGAATCATCGAAGCTGTATAAAGCACTTGTAAGGGCATTGAAACATCAATTTGAATAACTTGAGGTGAGAACGAAAGAGTTGACTTTGATGCCGGTTTGAAAGGTAATGAATAGTTTGAAGGAAATGAACAGATTCTAGGGAAGTTTCATGCAATTCAACCAGTTACTTAATACACGACGTTTAAACTACACTCCAATAACAAATTAAATAACATTTCACTTTTCAATTCATAATTGACATTTAATTTTTTTGTCTAATATTTATATAGTTAAATTGACTGTATTTATATTCATTACTATAGGTTGACTCAAATTTTTATAAACGGAACTTAGCAGTCTAACACATAACAGACTTCAAACAAAAAGCTTAGAAAACTAAGAATTACAAGCGTCTAAGTTTAAAAATGAAAAAAAAAAAGAGGGAGGAGGGTCCTCAAATTGATGAAAGAGGTTATAAGATCTAACCTTATCTTAGCTAAAACGTCTACACTTTAATTAACCTCTTTACAAACATGAGCAAACTTAACAAAATTTATATCTCTTAAAGAATTTCTAATACAAGAAATTGGAGAATATAGAGGGTGAGAAGAAGGCTGAACACATAAAATGAGAGATAAAGTCTCCTTAGAATCACTTTCTATTCAAATGAAACGAAGTTTCCTTTGCATAACAAGCTGGACCTCCAGATAAAGGCTCCAAAGTTCTGCAGCCAAAGGAAAACAGAGACATGAAATTATTGTGAAACCTAGTAATAAAGTTGCTATGGCTGTCACAGATAAGACCTCCATACATAGCAGAGCCATTAGACATAAAGACCACTTAATCAACATTAAGCTTTAGATGGTTAGTAGGAGGAGGGATCCATCTAACTTTCCTATGATCAGCAATTGCTTTGGACAAGGCCAAAGAATTATCCCTATAACAATCAGAAAAGTAAACAGTATCAAATAAAGCCTTATGAGCTAGAGAGTTAGGCAAAGCTGAGTGATGTTGAAAAATAGATTCATTCATATCTTTCCAGATATGCCAAATAGCATAGGCCAATAATAAAAGTTTCTCATGCATCTATTGGATAAGTTGGAAAAAAGCCAAACAAACACACCAAAGCTAAAAAATTGAACCCATTGGTCTAGGATAATAAAGTGATTCCAAACTGATTGAGCAAAATGATAGTCTCTTAAAGCATGCATAAGAGATTCAAGACCTTCCCCACACCTAGGGCAAGTAGAAGACTCAGACATACCTCTCCTAACTCTCTCCTCATTTGTAAGGAGTTTACCACGAGTAATTTTATAAAGGGGAAAGGCAAACTTAGAAGGCCTTTTTCAACTCAAAACACTTTTAAATAAATTTTGACAGTTACTAGCAATAGAATTCGATTAAGAAAGCAAATTATAAGCAGATTTAAGAGTAAAAACACCATTACAAAAAGAGTAAGAAGAGTGAACTTCAAAGCTTGAATCAGAGAAAGATTGGAGTTTTTCAAGGATTTTATGAGTAAAAGGAGGAGAGAGGTTAAAGGAAATGGAGAGGAGTCGTAACTTGGATTATAATCCAAGTTTCTCAACTTAAAAATTCTTAAATACCCCTCAACTTGCAACATTCTTGCTACAACGAGTTGTTTCTTGCTATAGCGAGAGTTTCTCGCTACAACGAGCTTTTCTTTCGTTGCAGTGAAAAAACCAAATATATTTTATCCCTTGATATCTGTCATTTTAGTTAGAGTTCATCGTTACAGCGAGAGATTCTTGCTATAGCAAGAGAGTTTCAGAGAGCTTGATTTCTAGATGACTTTTATCGCTACAACGAGACACATCTCACTGTAGTGAGAAACCCTTTAACTCACACACTTAAAACTCTCCTAATTTCGAGCAACATGTATTAACAATCTTCATATAATACAAAATTAATAAATAATAAAAATAAGAGTGTTACACAGGACATCAATAATATTCTTCTTTCTATAAAAAAATTTAATGTTTTTGTCTAAACACACATATTGAATCCTATAACAGTGAATCCAATTTTGAACGATCTACAGTGATTTTTTTTTATTATAAGAAGAAGAAAATTCATTAAGACATGAAAAAGGAAGCTAGAGACATGTTAGAAAAAGAATACAAAATTTGTCTATTTTAGATAACAAACTTAGTAAAAGAAAATAATACAAAAATAATCTTTTTCAAGAGTGAGATTAATAGAAATCTCCATCTCTAATAAAATGTCAATTTACTTAATAATAACATAATATTTATAAAAGATAGCATTTTTTTCAGAAGTACTTTTTTATATATGATATTTAAAAGTTATATATACTAAAATATGATATTTTTTAAAAAAATTATGAAAATATGAAGTTTAAAAATTGCTATGAGTATAAGTACATAAATTCAAAAATAAAAGATAAAAAAAGTGATAGTTTCAAAATCATTAATAGTTAATTTTTTGAAAAGTATTAAGAAATTAAAAATCATCAATGATAATTTTAAAATTTTTTTTTTGTAATTTTGTAAAAAAAGATATTTTTATAATTTAAAAAAAAGAACCTTATTTCTATTTCTATAAAATCTAAGCAATGAATTCTTTTATATCTTTTGTTGAATTGAAAGTCAAATGATTTAGTAAGAGATAAATAAATGTTAATCACAAATTCAAACTCAAAAGTCCGGTGTGAACCCTCTCAAGATTACCGAAAACACTCTCATAGTCACCGTATTAAAGGAAAGGAGGAGACTAGCAAACAAGAGAAGGAGGTTACGACAAAATAGAATGGGAATCATGGAGAAAGCAGAGGCCCTATATAATACAACATATCCTCTGTTATCAAATCTTGGTTTCTAATCGCAAATCCCATTTAATCCAATGGAGAAACCACACATAGCAGTAGTTCCTAGTGCTGGCTTCACTCATTTGGTTCCAATTCTTGAGTTCTCCAAACGCCTCCTTCATCTCTACCCAGAATTCCATGTCACATGCATCATTCCCTCTGTTGGCTCCCCCCCCATCTCCTCCAAAACTTACCTTCAATCCCTTCCATCTTCCATAAGTTCCATTTTTTTACCCTCCGTCACTCTTGATCATGTGCCTGATCCATCTCTCCTTGCAATCCAAATTGAACTCTCAGTGAATCTCTCTTTGCCTTACATAAGGGAAGAATTGAAGTCCTTATGTTCTAGAACAAAGGTTGTAGCTTTGGTTGTGGACGTTTTTGCAAATGGAGCTTTGGATTTTGCTAAGGAACTCAACCTCCTGTCTTACATATACCTCCCTCAATCAGCTATGTTGCTTTCTGGCTACTTTTACTCACCAAAGCTACATGAGATACTTTCTTCTGAGTCTAGAGACCCACAAGATCCTATTCAGATTCCTGGGTGTGTACCTGTTCCTTGGAGAGATCTCCCTCCTCCGTTTCGACATCAATCTAGCATAGGTTACAAGAGGTTTCTTGAACGTGCTAAACGACTTCATGTTCCTGATGGCATCTTTGTGAATACCTTCCATGAATTGGAATCAGGGGCTATTAGAGTTTTGCAGGAACAGGTCAAAGGGAAGCCCATGGTTTATCCTGTTGGACCCATAATTCAGAATGGGTCAGTCAGTCATGAAAACGGGTTGGAGTGTTTGACATGGTTGGATAAGCAAGAACCCAAGTCTGTTTTATACGTGTCGTTTGGAAGTGGTGGCACACTTTCCCAAGATCAATTCAATGAATTAGCCTTTGGGTTGGAATTGAGTGGTAAAAAATTTCTTTGGGTAGTGAGAGCCCCTAGCAGTGTGACCTGTTCTACTTACTTTGATGCTGCAATAGAGGACTCTCTAGGGTTCTTACCAGAGGGTTTTCTGGAGAGAACCAAGATGCATGGTTTGGTTGTCCCTTCTTGGGCCCCTCAGATTGAAGTGCTTGGTCACAGTTCAACTGGGGGGTTCCTTTCTCACTGTGGTTGGAATTCAGTGCTTGAAAGTGTTGTGCAGGGTGTGCCAGTGATAGCATGGCCTCTGTTTGCTGAGCAAGGGCTGAATGCTGCAATGCTAACTGATGGTCTAAAAGTGGCACTGAGACCAAAAGTTAATGACAGTGGGTTGGCTGAAAGAGAAGAAATTGCTAAGGTAGTGAGAGAGTTGATGGAAGGTAAAGAAGGCATGGAAATTCGAAGAAGAATGGACCATTTGAAGAATGCTGCCGCTATTGCCATAAAAGAAGATGGATCATCCACAAAGAATCTTTCAGTGGTGGCTGCCAATTTCAGAGGCTTTTAATTATCATGTCATTAGTTAGTTTTATTTAATAAATTTCCAACAACCTTGAAGTGGTTCTGGTTTTGTTTGATCTGTCTCTTATTTATTTTTACTTTTCAATTGTTAGACATAAAAGAATGTATGGAGGAAAGGTTACTCCTCATTGTCTGTCAGTAAAACGACGTGGGACTAAAAATTCTGCTATCAAAATATATTTCTGACAGGCAAAATAGACAATAAACCTATCAAGAAAAAGATCTAATCTTTGCCTATTGGTCAACATATTCTACAATCATATGGAATATAATGGAAAAATGAAAACATGGTAACAGGTGAAGAAGAAAACATGTTATAAACATTTTAATCTTATCGTTTTCCTTTGGAGTTTTGAGAGGTTAGGAGCTTAGGCCATTCAAAATGTTCTTGATGAGTATCATTTTTATTTTCTTTTTCTCGTTGTGCCCTTTTAATTCTTCTAGTTCCAAGAAGCTTGAGCGATTAAAATCAACGTCTGCGTCTGATATCTTTACAATGTGCCTTAGATGCATGATTGTTAGTAATTTACAAATGTAGCTTTTGGCTATGTGCTTGCTTGGAAATACGTAGATAACGAGTCTCGTACTTTTTTAACGCAATACATACATTCCAATAAAAATGCATGTTTTAAATTGATTTCTGGATTTACTTCAGTCAATTCAATAAATTTTATAAAAATTATTAATTCTACTCAATTTTAAACCAAATAAGTACTGAATCCTATTGGACGAAGGACGCATTTGGAGAAGTTTACAGAGAATTTATGTAAACAGCTTCTAAAGTACGTAGACATTTTTCCCCTTATTTCTTCAAACATAACATGGAACCATGTTAACACCGAGTGCGACCCATCAAATTATGAGAAAGTCACAAAGAAGAAAAAATGTCCTGTTCCTGGATGCAGAGAGATCTTAGTATTCTCAAACACAATTAAGTGCAGGAACTGCAATGTGAACACTTGTTTGAAGCATCGGTATGGACCTGATCATAAATGCCCTGGGCCTAAAAAGTTGGAAACCAAGTTTTTCGTTCACGAGTTTTTCGAATAGGAGCAGAAAAGAGGAGTCCAAACCCACTTCAAGTTCAACCTCAACATCATCGAAGTGGACTAAAAGCTTTCTTAATGCAGCTTCTAACATTCGAGCTTCAGCTGAGGCTGGCATGTCAAAGTTGAGCGGTGGAATCAACCTGGCAGACATCAAGGGATAGCGTGGGACACAGCCGTAGCAGTGGTCAAGTGGAGCAGAATGCCCACAATGTGGTGCCAAGTTGTCCTCAGTTACCACTTTGATGGACCATGTGCAAAAGGTTCATGAAAGGGGTGGCAACCGATCTGGAGCAAAGGTTAAAATTGATGTTTGTCCTAAGTGTAGTAGAGGATTTCGAGACCCTGTGACCCTTGTTGAGAGGGATCATGGTGGTAGCTCTAGAGCATAGGGTGGAGTTGATATTGGATGAATTTTAATTCGAAAAAATTGCACTTTCTACAACAAATAGCATTCTTGTGCCCCATTTTATAGCAACGAAGTGTGAATAACTGAATATTGAAAAGAGGGAATCGTAGAAATTACTCGATTCCACCGTTGTAACCTTTCTTCACTCGCAGTATTTTGTGACAATATGTTCTGCTGAAGCTATGTTCAAACATCTAGTATTGCCCGTCCTGTTAATGGAATGTCTTCAAAAACTGTTCTGACTTTGTTGTAAAAGACTTTGATGGAAGGCGCTCCAAGGAATACGAATTAGAGTTTCAACAAACTTTGTTGAAAATATTTAAAATCTATATCTGAGATTTATTTATAAATATTAATTTTAAATAATAAAATATTAAAAAATATATGAAGTGATTTTCCGCAGGCCCGTTCATCACTTAAAAAATTAACGGTAGGTAAGGACAGCCAATACATCACTTAGGGGATGAAGTTGATGGGAGAAATTAAATTTTAATTTTTTAATAAATTTAGGGATTGAAATTTAAATTTCTTTTAAAAGAATTTATCACAAAAATACTACTTTTATAAGAAATAAAAATGTAATTAAGTTTGTACATAGTTATTTTAAGTGCATTTTCTAATGAATTTTAATAGAATTTTAATATAATTTTTAATTGGTATAATTAGAGTAATAGTTAGTAAGATTTCTTTTAATTTCTTCAGTTTAAATGAAAATTGAATTATCTAATTTTTTCACTTAAATAAATTTAAATTTATTTAAATAAATTTTAGAAAAATGACAAAAAATTATGAAGCGCATTTTATGCTCACGAGAGTCCATTCTAAAACAACATATTTGAAATTGAATCACATTTTAATAGAAATAATCACATCTAATGGAAAGCTCTCTAAATGACAACACCTAAGGTGAAAAACTTTTTATAGAGGAACATGATCAAATCTCACGTAGTACAAAGAAAGTTAAAATGACAAAAACTCACGGTGAAGCTGAGGTACATATGGAGGAAAACGAACACCCTTACAATTATAGAATTATCATCTCACCATTTTGGTCTATGAATGCTTGCGAAACTGCCACATGGGAAGTGTGTAATATCCTCCAAAAATAGCGCTATTAATTTGGTGATTCCAAGATCTCGCACACGCATAATGGCTTGAGATTTGCTGCTTTAAATAATGATTCATGTGAGAATAATTTTGATTCTGGCATTCCTAAGATGTCGTAGCAGATTAATGGGTCAAGGCAAACGAAAATCAATTCTGAACCTTTGGAAATAAATGATGATCTAGCACTAATATTCATGCCTCCTGTGGACCCACCCTCATCTAATATGGGTATTCCTCTATAGCAAAAATCAGTACCTACCTCGCACAAAAAAAAAAAAAAACCAATAATTATAAGATTCTTTTCACAAATAGGGATGGAAACAGGTTAGATGGATTGACAAGGGCTAGCTTACACTGGGGACTAGGCATTGATGGTCTACATGCTCTATTCTTCAAATCCCAATAGAAACATCTTCATCCTATGATCATAGGCTTGGTTCAGAGTATATTTACTGCCCCATCTCAAATTAAGGAGGTCAATCACACCTTAATTACCCTTATTTTGAAGGTAGACACTCCTGAATATATCAGTAACTTTAGGCCCATCTCTTTGTGCAATGTGAGCTACAAAATCATGACCAAGCTTCTCACTTAAAGACTAAAACATCTTATGCCAGAGCTAGGTTCTCCTAACCAAAGTAGCTTTGTCCTAGGGAGGCAAGGCATTGATAATATCATTATTCTTCAGGAAGTTGTTCATAATATGCGCTCTCTTGAAGTTACAAGGGATATATGGTTCTCAAGTTTGACCTTGAAAAGGCCTATGACAAGTTAAGATGGGACTTTGTGCAAGATACCCTTATCAAAGCTGGTCTTGGAAGATTTTTCTCTAATATGGTTATGATTTGCACAACTTCCTCTTCTTTTCTATGAACTGGAATGGAGACACCTCTGAAACTTTCACCTTTTCTAGGGGACTTTGTTAGGGAGATCCTCTCTCACCCTACTTATTTGTTTTGTGCCTTGAGCATCTTACACATGCTATTACTTCTATTGTTTCTAATAATAACAGGAAACCCCTATTTTTTTTTGTAGAAATGGTCTTCATATCTCATATTTTTTTGCAGATGACATCATTCTTATATTAGAGGCTTCTGAAGACCAAGTTTAGCTTGTAAAGTCTATCATTGATAATTTTAGTTTGGCTTCTAGCCTCTTTATGAGCAATAGCAAGTCTAAAGTGATTTTTCTTCCCAAATGTCAACAATTAAATGGCTTATTCTCTTGGTAGTCAACTTGGTTTTATTATCAGTACAGAGTTAGTTACCTACCTGGAGGCTCCTATCCAAATGGGTCATCCCAACAAGCATGCCTAGTCTTTTATCCTAGACAAAACCCAGAAAAAGCTCTCTAATTGAAAAATTCATTCGCTGTCTATGACTAGTCGTATCACTCTCACTCAATCTTTTATCTCTAGTATCCTGGCGTATGTCATGCAAACACACCTTATTCCTCTCAGCATTTGTGTTGAAGCAGATAAGTTGTGTCAGAATTTCATATGGGGCTCTGCAGATGAGAAGAGAAAATGTCACCTTATATCCCTAGGATACCATCTGCTCTCCCAAGGATAAGGGTGGACTTGGCTTTAGGAAGCTTAGAGATGTTAATTTGGTGTTTATGATGAAGCTAGGTTGGAGGATCATCACCAATCCTAACTCTCTTTGGGCTAGGGTCCTTATGTCAGAGCCATTCAGAATGCTTCACTTACTTGGAGAAGGATTTGTAAGGCTTGGCCTCATATGATCTCTAATATTAAGTGGAACATTAGGGATAGTCAAACTACAAAATTATGGTCTACTAAATAGGTTACTAATAATCTCACCCTAGAAGACTTGGCTCCCATAGGTATCCCTCATGATATGGAGGATATTCCTATTGCTACTTATGGTCTCAATGATTCTTGGAATTGGAATCTTATGGATCATCATGTCAACTCAGAAACTATATCTTTGATTGCTAGCTATCCTGTGCCTCATCACTCCAAAGGCAAAGGTTTCCCTTCTTGGTCCCTCACAAGTAATGGACAATTCTCTTTTAAGTTTGCTTTCAATTTCCTTCTTGGCTTCAAGGAAGATAGTGCCCCGGATAATATCTTCAACAATGTTTGGAATTGGGAAGACCCTTAGAAGATCAAGACATTCCTTTGGAAAGTCGCCCATGGCTAACTCCTTACAAATGAGGAAAGGAAGAAGCGTCACTTCTCTAACGATGATAGTTAAGACTATTGTCATTTTGCCATTGAAACAGTAATGCATGTTCTCATGGATTGTCCCCTTGCTAATACTGTTTGGTCTTCTTTTGTATTGTAGGATTCTTTGGCGGCATTCTTTAGCCTTGGAATTCATAGATGGCTGAAAGCTAATCTCAATGGGAGCATCAAAATGCAAGAATCGCATTGGAGCATGCTATTTGGCGTGATTGCTTGGCAGCTTTGTAATGCTAGGAATGATCACATATTCAAGTCTTCTTCTTCCGTTCTCCAGAACATCATTCGTTGATCTATAGACTATGCAATGTTGAGTCATCCTTTCGATAGTTCCTCTAGAAGGATCTTGAAAAGATCCTTTAAATCTGAGACCCTTATCTCTTGGAGTCTCCCCACTACCAACCTTTTAAAACTCAATATTGATGGTTCAGTCTCTGGTACTCCTCTTGAAGCTACTTGTGGAGGAGTTATCTGTGTTGATCAAGGTAGATTTGTGTATGGATTTGTTTGCAAGATTGGTACATGCTCTACAATTAAAGCAGAACTTTGGGGGTTACTTAAAGGCCTCAAACTCATCAAGGCTCACAATCTCTAACGTATTGTGATTAAGATGGATTTCAAGGTAGCAGTGCATCTTGCCAGGATGGGTTGCCAAGATGGCTAATATAGTTGGCATCTTCCATATCTTTAAAGAAGCAAATTAGAGTGCATATCACCTTGCTAGTATTGCTCATGATCATAGTTTCAGATTCCATCCCATTGTATCTCCTCCTCTTAGTCTTATTCCATTTCTTAAAGAGGAGGCCTATGGTCTTGCTTTCCCTCACCTTGTTGGCTAGCTTTCATGGGTCTTAGTGCCTCGATGGATAACCATAAAAAAAGAAAAAGAAATTGAACCACATTTCCATCCTATC